CAGCTAGCACCTGCCACCAGGGCTACCTCGGGGCTCACCACCTTCTCGTTTCTGCAAGCCCACCAATGCTCATTTTCTCTCTGCTGCAGCCACAGACTTCATTTGGAAAACCCAGTTGGAGCTGGTAAAAAGGAAAGGAGGACCTGACCTGGATGCCAACACTCAGAGAGCCAAACCCAAAACAAACACAAACACAAAACCAAATACACAGCGCCCTGGAGGAGTGATATGGGAAAAGTTGAGCAGGAACTGGACTTCATTTTCATACCTTCAAGTCTGACTTCAATGAGGCAAGGTGTGAGAAGGCTAATAATGCCAGGCCCTGCATGGGCTCTGCTCGTCAGACTCCCAGGAAACATAACCTAAAGGGCTTTTGTTTAGGAGCAAGGATCACTCCCAGATATGACTTCACAGGTACAGCAGGGAACCATGGGTAATCACGGCTAGTATTTTTCCAGCATTTTCTTTGCACCAGCTCTGTCATCCTTCCTAACAGTTCTGTGAAAATGGTCCCACTGCACAAAAAACAAACGGGAAGTCCTGAGAGTCAATGCCCGCCCAAGGCCCACAGAGGTCAGAACTGTGCATGTTTTCACTGCAGTCCCAAGGGGTGCGCCTGTAGGGAAAGCTCTTTTTCCCTGTTTGTATTAATTAACCTCCTTTGTGACTCTGCACACCAACCCAGAGCCATGCGCTTTGGGTTACGATTAGTGACCACGGGTCAAAGTCGAAGCACTCGGGGCATCTTGCCCCTCGCCCAGGAAATGTTAAAAGGGTCTTCTCCATACCCTCCCCCACTTCCCCCAGCAGCTTTTGGCTTTTTTTCCTAATTGCAACAGCTAAGGAGAGGATAAACATGGTTGGGGTTGTGTCATCTCAAAATCTAACTTCTTTTGAGTTTTTAACTTCTCCAGTAATGAAATCACTTGGACACTACAGCAAAAAAGAAAAAAACTAAAACACAAAAAACAGAAGAAGATGTTTTATCAATCAAGCCAAAAAGCGTAAGGTTGAAAACAGCAGCAATTCTGTTTTTGGAAAAGTCACTAGGAAGGAAGGAAAGAAACCCTGGAGAGATGCATGCGCGGGGCTGAGAACATCGGGGGAGAGTGGAGGAGAAGCCTCTAAAGAAGAAAGGGTGGGACGGCTGGGGAGTCAGCTCAGCAGCTCAAGCGCTGCTGGCCTAGTAAGTGTGAGGCTGTGAGAAGAAGAAGGGGAAGGGGACAGGGAGGGGAAGAGGATCAAATATGGAGAGTGTCACCAGGAAATCAGCTCTAACGGAGGGGGCGGGGCGCAGCAGAGGCGGAAGCGGTGGCTGAGGGTGCAGTGCTCTCAGGAAAACATCTGAGCTGAAATCCAAAGGAGCCAAGATGGGCAGGGAGGACAGGGAGGGTAGGGACCGGACAGTAGAATGCAGCAGGCAGGTGGCCCCAGCAGCAGGGAAGGGAAATGCCTACAAGTGAGCCAAAGAGGGAAGGGGGACCCAGTCAGTCTCTGCAAAATGTGGCGAGGAAAGGCGCTGTTGGAGGATATTTAACAGAGGGACTGACATACTCAGTCATTCTCAAAAGCTCCGGGGAGGATGTGGGAAGTAGCTGGGGCTGGTGTGTGTTCAAAGTCTTGGCTACACTTTGCTACCTGGCATCCTGCTCCCAATCAGCAGCACTAGTAACCCACTGGCCCTTCTCCCAGGAATGTCTAGAAATTATTGTGAAATAACAACAATAATAATAACTATATTAAGGCCGGGGTACAGCTTTGTATTAGGGTGTTTGGCTTCCATTTATGAAGCCTTGGATTTAATCCTCAGGATCAAAACAAAACTTGTCAAGATTTAAAAATTTAAAGTATTGTTAATTTAAAAAAAAACTGTTCATCTCAACATACTAAGAAAATGGCTTGGAATAACTTTTAAAAATTCATTTGTTCATTAAAATAGGACCCATTGGCTCAGCATGGTGGCTCAAACCTTAAACCCAGCATTTGGATGTTGAAGCAGGAGAAATGCAAGTTTGAAGCCTGCTTGGGCTGCACAGCAAAATCGTGTCTCAAAAAATAAAAGTAAAAATAAATGTTCTGCTTATTTCCAAAAATCTTCCTGTTCCCCTAACCCCAAGGTGCGGGGGGGGGGGGGGTGTTGGACTCAGGGCCTTCACATTCAGTTACATTCTCATCCCTTACCCCTGTTTTGTTTGTTTGTTTTTATAGATAAGTTGCTCAAAGTGTATTCTATTGTGTTTTGTTTTGTTGTACGGAGGATTAAATCCAGTCTTTATATAAGCTACATCTCTAGCCTCTTTTTTATTTTCTGAGACACAGGTTTACTAAGTTGCCCAGGCTGGGCTCAAACTTTCCATCCTCCTGTTTCAGTCTCCCAGAGCACCAGGGTTACAGGTATGTGCCATCCAAAGAGTTTTTAGAGCCTTTGCAATAAAGCTTACAAGTAACAACTCAAACTTGTCCCTGGGAAAGCATTTACAAGCTATCAAAAAACGTGATACAGTATCAATTTGGAAGAGAAATGTTAACATGAACCATTTTAAAAGCCTAACTCACTCTGGGGGTCAACAGCTTCAACGCGCAGACTAATAAAGCCTGGAGTTTAATCTACTTTCTTATCTCCTCCCCCCCCCCCTTTTCCTCCTCCTCCTCTCTCTGGTCCTTTTGAGATCCAACCTGTTTCTATTTGCTGCTCACTGGCGCCCCCATCAGAGCCCCGGAAGAAAGGAAGAGTTAAAAAGTTTGAAAATGAATCTGCTCCAGCAGTTTCACTCCCAGGTCTGTCTTTGTAAGGGGGTGTTTGTGTGTAGGGAGTAGTGGAGAAAAGTGATACTTAAATTTTAACTACTTATCCATTTCTCTACAATGCAGATTCTGCACATATTCATAACACTATCTTTCTTATTTGGTCAGCAAATCACTCTGCCCCACCATATGCAAATAGGAAAAGCTCTCCAAACTAGACAGGACCTAATTTCTATCTTTAATCTCTTTCTACAGCACTCTGATCTCTGTTCTGACTCTGCCAGTGAGAGTCCCATAACCCGTCTGAGGACACAGGTCAGTGGTAGACATGCAAAGGGCCCTGGGTTCGAGTCCCAGCCCTGAGGAAAAAAATAAGATTTTTATCCTGTAAGACTTTCACAAACTGGGGGCTGGGGATTTAGCTCAGTGGCATAAGCGCCTGCTTGCAAGCAGGCAGTCGTGAGTTCGATCCCTGGTACCGATAAAAAGAAAAAAGACCAAAAAAAAAAAAAAAAAAAGACTTTCACAAACTAAGACAGAACACAGACATCCCACAGGCACATTTCGAGAGCATAAGTCTGAAGGGAAATTGGAGAAAATTTTCATTGTTCTCTAGGTGGATTTTAAAGTACTTATGAGAAAAAAAGATAATTATTTGAGTTCTAAAATTCTATCAGTTATAAAAGTCATTACAGATTTTTTAAAAATTGGAAAATAGAAACATTTGAATTTTAAGCAAAATCTCTAGTTTCTATTACTTTTCCCATAATATTTGCACACTCACTATCTCCATGCCCATGTATGAACAGCCATCACTGGCAGCGAAATAGACCAGATTTGTGCTAGACTAGGAGAAATGGATCTGGCAGGAACACTGAGGGATTTTTGAGGATTTGGTGATGACGGGGTGGAGAACAGAATGGCCTCAGTTCTTTACTTGGTTTTGGCTCCATATTTGTTTCTATTGCTATATTGCCGCAAATTATGAATTGCTTATGTAATTTAAGCCAGGAGAATGCAATGTTTAAGAAACGTTCATTTGAGCAACCAAGCCTCCAAAGGAAAATCTTGAAGGGAAAAAAGAGTTGCTTTATTTATTTATTTTTTGTGGTGCTGGAAATTGAACCCAAAGCCTTGTAGATGCAAGGCAAGAGCTCTATCACAGAGCCAACATCTCCAGCCCAAAGTTGCTCGACATTATTTCTATTATTATTATTGCCTTTTTTGAGGCGAGGTTTCACTATATGGTTCAGGCGGGCCTCGAACTCCTGGGGATTCTCCTGCTTCAGCCTCCTGAGCGCTGGGATTACAGGCATGCGCCACTGGGCCTGGCCAGTTGCTTGATTTTAAACCAGACTTCTCAGGTATTCTTAAAAGACACCTTAGAGAATAAAAGGCAAATATTAGTCTACTAGATTCGTGACCAAAATCGCCTGCTGAATGGAAATAGCGGCCTTTCAGGGAAGGGAAAATACTTGGTCTGCGTTTGTTTATTTCTCTCTCCCCGCCCCTCTGTTTATTTTTCTTGTGGACAGAGCCTGGAGAGCTGCCTCCTGTAATTCATCAGCTACCAGACCTGAAACCTGCCAACCCCCTGCAAGAGAGCTACAGACCGGAATGGAACCTGCCTTGCTGGCCTTCACGTACCAATCCACTGTCACCTACGCAGTCGCCCATAACAACACCTGGGGGACTTAAGATAAAACCCAGAGCTGCGCCGGCACAGCGGACAGGAACGCTCCCCTTCCTGGGCCCCACCCTCCGGCGCCCCAGAGGACCAAGCCCACAGTGCCCAGAGGGCCGGGTGGGAGCAGCCTGCAGGGCGTCCTCCCCAGGCCTTGCTCGATCGCGATCCCGAAACGGCGGCACCAGCTCCTCCGCCAGGCTCCTGTCCCTTGGGGAACCGGGTCCCGCGGCTGCCCGAAGTCCGGCCAGAGCGCGGCGCAACCACGTAGCACTGTCTAGGGGAAAGTTCTCGGTTCGGTCCAGACCAGACCTGGGTCCTCCTTTCCTCTCGGCCGGGAACTTGGGGGCTTGCCGCGCGCCCCCCGGCCGGGTCCCTCCTCGGCGCCCACCCGTGCGCGCTGCACCACCGGCCGGGCGCGCCCGGGTCGCCGGTGGCTCGGTGCAGGCGCCCAGGTCCGTGGGTGAGCGGGCTCGCTGCGCCCCGCGCCCTGGCCCCGCGGGGGTTCAGGCATGTGCTCAACGCTGCCCGGCCTCCGGGCAGCCTCCCAGCCCCCGGGCCGAGCTCTCACCTCCACTCCGGAGCGCGTGGAGCAAGAGCCCCAGCAGCAGCGGCAGAGGGGCCGGCCCCATCGCGGGGCCGCAGGGCTGCAAGTGCTCTGCGGACGGACGGACGGACGGACGGGCGGGCGGAGGGAGGTCCCGAACCAGAGCGCGCGGCAGCAGCTACGCGCCCGAGTGGCAGGGCCGAGGCGCGCGGGAGGCCCGGGCTGCGAGGGGCGGGCCGGGGGCCGGGCCGGGCCGGGGCTGGGCAGGTGGGGGTGGACAGGGGGCGGGGGTGGCCGCTCTAGGAGGGAACCGGCGGGAGGGGCGGGGAGAGCGGGCCGAGGGCAGGACAGTGGAGGGAAGGGGCGAGCGGGAGGTGCCTGGTTAACCCGAGCAAGTTGCCCCCGCGGAGGGGACGTGCAGGGCGGGCGGCCGGGGGAGGAAAGGGAGGGGGCTGGAGAGCCCCTGCGGCGGCCACGCGCCCAGGCTGGCCCCAATGGCCCGGGCGTAGAGGACGGGGACCGGGCTGGAGAGAAGCGAAAGGGACAGCGGCCGGAGGTGCCAGGGGAGGGGGCGCTGGCCTCCGGGCAGGCTTGGGTGCCACCTGTAAGAGGGGTGGGGGTGGGGAGGCGGTTAGCAGAGGGCGCCAGAGGCAGCCCTGCGTGGCGGCCCCGCAATCCAGTTGCTGACTCCGGGAAACCTTGGCGGCCATGCTCCCCCCACCCCCGGCGGTGCCCCCGGCGCCAGCGCTTCCAGCTGAGCCCCGAATGCCTTCCCTCCCCGAGGAGTGCCCGGGGTGGGGGTTCCCCACTCGAAAGGCAACCGAGGGGCGTGTAGGAGCCCGCCACCGCCAGAAGAGGGGTTCCAAGAGTTCTCCAGGCTCCAAACCATTCAAAGAAAATAAACCGCTGGGAAGGAAATAGTGACTGGAAAAAAATGCAGAGCAAGAGCGCAGATCTGCAGCCTAAGAAGTGGAGGTGGAGGGAGGAGGCAGCAGCAGACAGGGAATCACGCAGCAATGCACTGTTACTAATACCTGCCACTCGCAGCCGCGTGAGACTTTCTCAAATGAAGTGCGTTTAGAATGCTTAGCAGATCACGTCCTGTCTCAGCTCAAAACTCCCCGAACTCCAGCTTACTCCTTAAGGGCCACAATCTTGCTGGTGGCCTGCAAGGTCCTCGTGACCTGGTCGCCTTTCCTCTCTCTGACACGCTGGCCTCTTGAAGCAGCCCTTTGACCCCTAAGCTGCTGGCTACATCCTGGAGATTTGCCTGTAAGGAGACAACCAGCTCGAGTGGATGTAGATGGTTTGTTGCTTACACTGACAGCAGAAACAAAAATCAGCGTGGTGTCAGCTCCTCGCACCCCAGTCCCATAGTGTGGCATGATACCAAATCAGAGTCCCCATGAACAGACTGAAGGAGCTGTGGGTCACCTGCTACTGAGCTGTAAGACCTTAAACAAGAACCAAGTAATGTCATAGACACAGGAGCCCGCAGCTTTCTTTGCTGGCAAATCTTACTGATTTTGTCCCTATGGCCACTCTTGATGTAACAGTGTGATCACATGCCCCAGTACTGTGTCAGCTCCGTTGTTGGTGACAGCTCTGAGCTTAAAACAGGCCAACATCAAATGCAGGCAGTATGGGTAATCGCTTTGCTGGTACAGGGCAGAAGCATCAGGTTGGAACCTTTCCTAAACTTGGACTTTGCTTTTTGAAGGTTTGTCCTGGGATTTGCCTCTACCCTGAGCGGATTTACCTCTGTCCTGCAGCACATCAGATCAAGGACTTTCTCACATGTCACCCTGTTCTCCCCAGAGCAAAGTGACACATAACCAGCTGGATGATACACCCAGGTGCTCCAAGGTCCCCTTTCTTGGGATCTGTGGCTGAGGAAGGGATCCTTGGAGAGCTGCCAAATGATGCAGGCTGGTTTTTGCCTTTTTACAAACCTGATAGATGATTATATCAATGAGGAAGATTCTTAACCACTGCCAACTATCTGCTTCCATGCCAAACAAATTCTTGGAAATTCTTTTCAAGGAATTTTAGGGAACAGGACAAGTCTCAGCTCTCCCTGACTTATTTATTTATACAGGGGATCGAACTCATGACCTCATGCTTGCCAAGCAGACATTTGTGCCACCGAGCTACATCCCCAGTACCAGTTGGTTTTTATATGTGGCATGTGCTTCATTATCAAAATTGTTTGTGTATCTGCAGAGATCCTTCACTCTGTACATCACCATAGCTCCATCTTTCTTTATGATCTGCCATTCACATCTCATTCCAACAACATTCAAAAGCCTACTCAACTTCTCCCACAGCCTCAATCAGGGATAAATTTTCAGTCAATCCTTCTATCCCATGCTTCTGGGAGCTCAGTTTGCTTAAATCAGATGTATCTTTTTTTTTTTTTTTTTTTGTCTTTTTCATTTTTATCGGTACCGGGAATTGAACTCACGACTGCCTGCTTGCAAGGCAGGCGCTTATGCCACTGAGCTAAATCCCCAGCCCCCAATCAGATGTATCTTGGTCACCTTGATGCTGATTTTCTACCTGAATAGACAAGTGATATTGTTCATATAGAATCCAGCTTGTATTCAAGTACTGATATAGTAATTTAATGAGTAATCCAACATCATGGTTGTTAATTATTAGACACAGTACAGCCAGGTGTAGTGGCACATACCTGTAATTCCAACACTCAGGAGGCTAAGGCAGGAAGATTGTTGCAAGTTTGAGACCAGCCTGGGCTACAAAGTGAGTTCAAGGCCAATCTGAGGTAGACCATACCTCAAAAAGATTAAAAAAAAATTAATTGGATAAAATATAGCACAAACAAATCATTTTCTAAAGCAGTTAGCAGAGTTTCTGGTTACTCTTAAGAGTTTTAGTGTCTAGGGCTAGGGGTTTAGCTCAGTGGCATAAGTGCCTGCCTGGCAAGTGCAAAGTCATGAGTTCAATCCCTGGTACCACCACCAAAAAAAAAAAAAAAAAAAAAAAAAAAAAGTTTTAGCATCTAATAGCAGCGCTGTGAGGCCAAACCCATGCTGAATCACTGTTTTAGGGAAGCAACTGAAAAACACTAACAACACTCTGATCAGTCCATTGTGTAAGGCATTCGTTGTTCTGTCACCTCTAGTAACATTTCATACTGGCTCTGGCCATAGAAGAGTTTCAAATAAACTTCTTAAAACTCGGTGGGGTTTTTTTATCCTGTAAATCATTCCTAAATGTTGATGGAATAATGCTGATTTTTGTCCACTCCACTTCCTGGTCTGGGCCATTCACAATGTGTTGTAGAGCAGCCTTCCTGAGGTGGCAATCTGGTTCACCTCCTACTCGCTGCTGTACATATCCTATTGGATGTTGAAGTCGGCCAGGTAGAGGGTGCAGTCCATGATCAGCCACACCTTGGTATCCTACAGGTTCTGGACCACCAGCTACTGGATTAGGGTTAGAGTTAGGAACTCGCTATCATCCTGAGCCAACATGGACCCCAGGAGCTATGGTGGTTGGGTCTTCACTAGGTCTGAACAGCCATTGCCTGAGGAATGCCTTTATTTTTTATAGATGAGGTCTTACACATTGTCCAGGCTGGCCTTGAATTACTGGATCCAATTGATCCTCTTGCCTCAACCTGCCAAAAAAGCTGATACTGCCAGAGCATGCCTCTGTACATGGCTCCAATATGAGTTGTTAACTGAGGCCTGCCTGATACAGTACTGTTTTAATGCTCTATTGCCATGTGGCATGCCACCCCAAACAGTGTGGAAGTAAGCATTAGGCCATTAGATTCATGGATTTTTGTGAGTCATAGATTCGGACAGAGCACAGGGAACTAGATGGTCTTGGCTCTCTATCTCCCCGGGACCTTCAGCTCAAATGGTTGACACCTAGAATCATCTAAAGCTGAGGTCAGCAAAGCAGAGCCTGAGAATCTGTGGCCTGTTTCTGCACAACGATGCTACCCGACCACAACCATTCATGTGGATTTCATATATGGCTGCTTCTGTGCTCTAACAGCAGAGTTACTTGTGATGGAGATCCTGTCACTCCCAGAGGTATGTGACACAGCCCTTTCCAAAGCCAACCAAGCCCTGATATAAAGGTTGATTCACACTGCTGGCTGCTGCTTGCCCTGAGAGTTGGAGACAAAGGTTGTAGGTTGCCCCATATAAATGAGACTTGTCAATGACAGCCTCTTAGTCCTTAAAAGTCTTGCAGGGCAGCTCAGAGTTCTAGGAACAACCATACCAGTGAAGAAGGTGGAAGTGGCATGACCTTTTATGACTTTAGCTGCAGGGATCATCTGTCTCCACACTCTTGGTAGAATTGGTCACAATCCTGTCCTCATGGGAAACAGCCACAGACTCCAACCTCCTGATGACTCAGAGGTCAAAGAATTTACAGCTGTTTTAAAAATCCCACAAATAAAAAAACATCCCACAAATAGCAAGGTGAATTATAATACGGGATATTATATCTACAGTTTAAACTTCGTACTTACTGTGTATTCAAATGACATGGAAGTTAATGTCCCTGATTATTCAAGGGATTGAAATATGTAAAGGGAAATGTGAAGATGAAATTAGAAAAAGGAATTAAGGGGCTGGGTATTTAGCTCAGTGGCATAAGCGCCTGCCTTGCAAGCAGGCAATCGTGAGTTCGATCCCCGGTACCGATAAAAATGAAAAAAGACCAAAAAAAAAAAAAAAAAAAAAAAAGAAAGAAAGAAAGAAAAAAAAGAAAAAGGAGTTAGACCTTAGAGTATACAACTATTTCTGTGATTGTAGGATCTCTACACAAAAAGCTACATTTGTGTACTTTCAATAGGGCAATAGTCACTTGGAACCCATACTTGGATGCACACTGTCTTTCTATGATCAGCTTAAAGCTATACAAGGAAGTGCTCTGAGCCTTTATTATGATCTAAGAAAAGCAGGACAGGTCGAGGGCTTGCAGTAGTTTTCATCTGGGGACGGGGAAGCTCACCCTCACTGACTGAAGCATAGAAGGACCAAATAAAATGGCACTGTGACCACAATCTGTACCTTGAGCATGTTCCATGCACCAGTGCCAGCACTCAAGACTTCCAAAGGAAGCCACTGATGGGAGCATGACGAGTCACATATAAAATGACACATTGGTCTTTAATAATGCCATTCCAAACCCATATCCTCTCTCCTTTGTCTTCCTAACCAC